TATATGAACACGTTGATCATAAAGGGGGTAAGTGCTATATAATTAGTTATTGCTATATTTATAATTAAAATTAATTAAAATTAAATGTACAGCATACGAGACTGTAGCTGGAGTTGGGTGTGTTAACATTGTAACACTAAATGAACTTATATCGTCTGTTAACACCCGGGGTGGTTGTTATCGATTTTTCGAACATGCTAACTGCAAGGGTCAAGCGCTCTCATTATATCCTGGTAGATCTTCACATAATAATCTTTTCAAATGGGGTTTTAACGATAAAATATCATCAGTTGGTAATTGCAGTTATCGTCGCAATCACTGCACGTGTAAAATGATATATTGGGGTGCCGGACTAGACTGACCAGATTTCCAGAAATGGCCTGGATTGTCCCGGAATTAGAGTACTAGTCCAGAATTTTAAGAATATTTTAAACATTAAGTCCCCATATATTAATTTTTAAATAATAAACATATATAATTTAAAAACTATTATGCAATAAATGTATAGTTTGTTTATGTAATTTTATTGAATCCATATTATTGTATTATTAAAAATTCAATTTTACATTGATTAAATTTGATATTTGTGTCTGTTAAATAAACTTACATATCCCCAAAAACCACAATTTCATAGCTGAATTGTATTTAAAATTATTAGATAAAAATATCGTTAAAACCACATTATGTTTATTGTAAAAAATAAAACAATTTAAAATATGTTCAATACTGTATAGAGTAAAATTACAAAACATGTGTTCGTTCAATTATATTTGAGTTCATTATATTGAGTTATAATTGGTAACACTGTGATAAAAATACACAATATATGCCGCGAAAAGCAATGGGAAGATCACAGCGCAAAATAAATCTACTTTACGGCCAAACGAATTATTCGTCCATTTTTCCCGACAATTGTCATAACATTCCTTTGTATCCAACGTTTTTTGAGAAAGAGAGAGAGAGAGAGAGAGCGAGATTAGTAAAGTACCATGAACAAACAATGACTTACCAATGCGACATTGTCTCCAGCATGTTCATTCTTGTTTGAGTTTTTGTTACAATTATAATCAATGGCCTTAACGATTGCAAACTCGATAATAGCGGCAAGGGTGAAGTTTGCGCACCACATAAACCACCAGTCCTTTGCTATAAAATACGGCACTTTCGCATCCGACCACATATTGATTACAATAATATGCGTGTAAAGCATCAACAATATGGTCACTAAAAACTTAATTCGTGATGAATTATTTGATTTTATTAAAAATGACAAAAACGATATAAATGTAAGCATTGCTGTCGTGACGAACCACTGGACCAAATACTTGGCAGTAATTCTTGAGAACTGCAAATCCACTTTTAAACAAGAATATTCTCCTAACAAATGTAAAAATTATGTGCTTGGTAAATATTATGTTTTAAATGTTTAAAAATAATGTATTAATCAGACCTGGATGTTTGTTTTGGATGTACAATAAGCTGTCGAATATTTATCAAGTTTAAATTCCTTTATAATTAAATTCTTGGTAACTTGAACAGGGTCGCCTACTTTCCAAAGCAGTACCAAATCAGCGGTCGTATAGACATCTATATTATGAATATAAATTTTACAAATAAAATAATAGTTAATTGTTTATATTTGTGGTTAAATACTAGATTAAATTGTCATACTTGATTTATACAATTCAAACAATATTTACCAAATTGCTCGACAAATATGTTAAAACTTTAAACAAACTTATATAAACTAAAGTACAATGTTGCATATTATATAAATACTTGCAACTTACAACTGGCCATTTGTATGGAACATATCTGTGTATCAAATGGATAATATTTGAGATCCATCGGACAGGAGAGGGTTGCGGTGATCCGTTTGGAAAATAACACATTCCCGTTGGGATATATGCGAAACAATACGTTGGGTTTGATATCAGTGTGCGATTGAGTGGACCACGAGTTGGAGAAAAAGGTGTCGGGAATCCAGAGTCGGGTCGAATCGTCGAGCACTAGGTATCGGATTTGGCCGTTCATGTCGTCGAACGCCAGTCTATTGTCATTCCATTGCTGTCTAAAAGTCATTTGTATTTTATACGCCATGTTATCGACGCTAATGTATTCAATGCCCCGGATATACATATTTGTGCGAACGATCGCCGGTTGAGTACGTTTAGCCGTTTCGTTGTAATGTCGGGGAACTATTCTCAGGTCATATTTGCTTCGATCCAATACTTTATCCAATATATCTTTCTCTGTCTTATAGATATCCCTTTACGATATAAAAGTACACAATATCTATGTTATACAGTACTTTGCTTAAAATTTTTACTCATATTTTAAAAATATTTATAATCAAATATGCACTAATAATAGTGGTTAAGGTGAATTAAGAAAAATTTTGGATTTTTAAAACAGAGGTTGATCAGAGTTATCAACCCTACTCATATCTGGCAATAAAGTTATAACAGCTTGAATGACAGTTGATTGCAAATAAGACAATGCAATACAATAATGAATTGTGTATTTAAAAATCTATGCAACATAAGTTGATTTAGAAAATCTAACTTTAAAACAATTAAAATAATATAACTAGTATTTCTAAAAAATAATCATTTAGTGAATTGATTGGCATTATTGTTAATTAATACAATTATATAAAAAATAGTTAACATTAAATACAAATTAATTAATTATAAATAAAACATAAGATGTATAAAAACCTCACCCAAAGACTTGCGTAGCAATTATGGAAAACACTATGAATTTGAAAGTGTTCTGCATTTTAATCATATATTTAAAAGTATTTCAAATCATAAACTAATTGAATGTAAAGTTTATACAAATGCAAAGTTTTAAATAGTTATAGAATCAATTGATGTAACCTTCAAATATTATAATTCCTATTAATTATTCTATCGAAACATCACTTATTCTTTACATAACTTAATGAAAGTATTGATATAAATTATGATCATATTATGAAATATATATTTTCAAGGTCTATTTGTTTTTGTTTGGATATGTGTTTAATTATCGATAATAACAAATCAGTTATGAACAAACTGCAAAACACATTACCATCATTTCCATGCAATCAACATTTGGACTGTTTTTATTGATGAACATAATAAGAGAATTTATTAATAAATGTTTGTACAACATAATGGTACAAGTTGACTAACAAGTTGAATAGGTATTATTTGTAAACCTAGAATCCGGATGGGTTTAGGGTTATTATATAATAACTTTGTATATTTAGAAATTGCCCATGTTAATCTTATGTCATACACTTAGCATTACCCATGTTAAAGTATAACCATAGACTTAAACTGGAATCCCATGTTAAATCCCATAGGGTGGGGCGGCTGGGGGAGGGAAGGGTCAGCCTAACAATCCTACAGTATAAACCACATTATTCAATTCTGAATTGTGGTTAAAAACCAAACATAATGAAATAAAATTACTTGCTATTCCTAAAACTATTTGCAATTTCTATTTTTACTTGCTACTTTATAACTTGCTGCTTCATAATAATTTTTCATCTGACTTTACATATATATAAAGTATTTTCATCATAAATATTTTGATATTAATTAGATTATATTGACTTACTTATAGTTATTATAATGACAATTAATATTACAGTAAACAAAACAATTAATGTCAATTGCATATAACAAGTTAGATTATTGATTGTATTACTGTATATGTATGACATCAAGCAAATCAGAAAATCATTAAATAAATCCAGATAATTAAATCCTATTCTTAATTGTCATTTATTTTAGTGGAATACTAATAATTTTTCTTTCAATTTCTTATAATAAATGTAATTTATTCTATGTCATAGACTTAAGCTGTATCCCTTGTTAAATCCCATAGAGCGGGAGGGCTGGGGGAGGGAGAGCATAGCTGAATTGTGGTTAAAAATAGAAATAAAATAATCACTCCAGTTAGAACTGTTAAATCACTAATTAATAATGCAAGCATAATTATTTACTATTTTATATCTAATTAAATGTAATATCGCACACTTTATTGAGTTTAATTTACAGTTTGTGTTGAATTTTCTGAATTATTATCACTCGATTACAATTAATTAATTCATTTTGTGATCTCTGTTATACATGTTGTAAATAATAGCAAAAATTGTGTTGACATTAATTGAATAATAATAATTATTAAATAATGAATATAAACCAAATATTAAGTTTGAAATATTGAGCATATAATATTAAAACTATTATGAAATAAATATACAGTTTGTTTTATGTAATTTTATTAAATCCATATTATTGTACAGTATTAGTAAAAATTGGTTGGCACTATACAGCACTACACTGCACCAGCTGCACCATTGCACCACTTAATTTGTCTTTGTACAAATATAATTGGTTTAATAGTTATTTTATTTAGATTTTTGAAATATCTCTCTCTCATTAATTAATAATTCTTTTAATTATTCTGCTTTATGTATTATAAAATTCTTTATTTGAATTATGGTGGTGCCGTCGGGTTATGTTGATACTAACCAATATTTAGTGGTGCAGTGGTGCAGGTGGTGCAGTGTGGTGCTGTATAGTGCCAACCTTTATTACTTATTGTATATTATGTGTGATGTTTATAAAATAATGATTAAAAATGTTTATATAAAATAAATTTACCTTCATATATAATTATTCTATAAAAATACAATTTAATTATATAAAATGTTATACATATTTGTAATCATAATCATATAACTTAATATTTAAACTTATCATTAATATTACTCATTGCATAATATTAAATGTTGGTCATTTATTAAATGTCATTTTATTATGTAATTTTATATTGTAACATTTAAAAATTATGTTTTATTTATTATATTATAATAATATCATTTTGATGTTATAATATAATGTTCATATAATTTTTATCCATATTTATGTTTGAATTATAATGTAATAAATCTAACTTATAAATGTAAATTTTACATTTAACATAATAATGTACAGCACAAACACATAATTATGATTGTATATTTAAAAATATAACGTTAATATTATCCACCTTAATCCTAAATATTAATAATGTTTATTTAAGAACTTTAAACTAAGAAATTTTATAGTTGACCAGTCTATGTATATTTGATCGTGTACGTTTATTTATAACTTTAATCAAATAAATTGTAATTTGATTGTACAAGGGTATAACTTGATATAAAAATTACATTGGTTATATAAAGTATACAATATAAAGTACACTTTATAATCATTATTAACATCTAGTAAAAAATATAATATCAGGAGCTCTTAGAGAAACTTCCAAACCAATTGAAAACAATAATTTGAAATCTGGATTAATACATAAGCCTTTCCAATGGATATTTATAGTAGAATATTCATTGTGAAACATCTGCGTATCTCTAAATGGTCTAGCTCTAAAAATGTTATATTAATAGCATTTATAAATATTGCAAATATAAATATATTTGCTGTTAATTATGCGAAACAGGCTGGACATCAATGTAAGTTTTATTTGTATTTAATGAATTGAATGCTTTATTATCTGTTTGATAAGATATGATAATATAATGTTAGTTTTACTATGTTATTTGGTTATATAATTTAATATAAAATAAAGTTTCTTTACATAAACATGGTCTTTTTTTAGTATTCACAATATTTTTAATTAACCAAAGAAGGATGGGGGAGACTCTATGTTAATTTGCCCAAAACAATAATTTTTATTTAACCCTCGGGAAAAAAGTTACGTTGATGGTATAGTGGCCGATTTTTAGTTAAAAGTTAATTTTAAGCGATTTTCTTTATGTTACTAAACATATGTTAAATTTGAAGTCAAATAATAAAGGTCAGGATGACAACCCGACGTCGAATTTGGCAATAGTGGTCACTATTTTCGGTAAATATAAACATATTTAAAATCAACATATGATATATGAAATCAATGTGGAATTTAACGTAGAATCAGAATATAGTAATATCACACCAGTGAAATAAATAGATTTGTTATAATCCGTGTAAAACTACTAAAACTTATTAAAATAAGGCTTACCAGGCTTAAAATTTGCCAGGCTTACCTCCACAACCTGGACAAAACAATTTGATTTCGTGTCCAGGTTGTGAGAATTCACCTGCGTCGCCGGGGTCATCGGCGTCACTTTCGGCCCTGGGATCGGGCAGGGGATGTTCCCCCTCACCAGTAACAGGTTGAGGAACCATCGGAGCCCTGGTGGCAGACTCCGAATGGACCAAATCTATTTTAGATAGAGATCGCTTCATTATTACACAAAACTGAATTTCAACTCAAAAATAATTATCCATTTTAATTTATATTTATCTTCTATCTTAGCACTAATTTAATATTAAACTATTAATTAAAAAAATTATCAATAAACAACGTCAAAATAACAAAAATTGAAATTATAATTTCTTAATTTGGAGATATTTCAAAAACGATATGTCCCATGCAAATACTAATAATATATTCTGATTCTACGTTAAATTCTACATTGATTTCATATATCATATGTTAATTTTTAATAAGTTTGAATTTCCCGATAAAAGTGGTCACTACCGCCGAACCCGAGGTAGGTACGGTCATATAGATTATATCAATAGGATCCTTATGCAGTGTACTTTCATTTTATATTGTCAAATCCCGGGTGCCAGCTTGATGAATTTCCCGATAAAAGTGGTCACTACCGCCGAACCCGAGGTAGGTACGGCCATATAGATTATATCAATAGGATCCTTATGCAGTGTACTTTCATTTTATATTGTCAAATCCCGGGTGCCAGCTTGGGCAGATTCCCCCATCGTACTTTAATATTTAAAAATCTGAAAATTAATGTAACTTAGGAATCGCCAGGACTTTTATATTAATGAATTATAATACACTATAAAGATTACCATTTAACTAATCATTACCTGCCCTCGAAATATAAGTGAATGGGTTTAAAGCGTAAATCATTTGTGTTGAAAATAAATATGAATCACAAATTTCATTAAACCCCACCACGTATTAGTGCACATTATATATGAGTAAAATATTAATTATAATCCTAGAAGTGATTCTAGGCTTTTGTTAATGTAACTGGTAATAATTTTTGTTTTGAGTACTTTTAGAAATAATAAAAATAAAGTAATAATAATTTTACATATAAAATGTAGGGTTGTTTTGTTTTTAACTAGAGTTTTATTTTATTTTATGTGATTTAAAATTGAAGCTTTAATAAAATAGAGGGCATATAATTTTGTTTATATCTAGATTTAAGTGCTATTATAGTCAAATCCAATAGATGAAATTAACCAATATAGAATATTTGCCAATATAGAATATTAATTTAAATTAAAAGTTTCAAAACAATTTTAATTTTATAATTTAAACAGATTGCTTATGATAAATATTGCATGCATCTATTAATTAAATAAAAATACAAATTAGTGGTCCAATAAAATAATTTTATTAATTATGTCATTAAATAACTTTCAATTTATTTTAGAATTTACAGTTCTATAAGTTATAGACTATAACACATCTTAATCTATAAACTAATAAATATGATAAAAATAACAATATACTGTTACGTTAAATCAAGCAAAATTTTAAGTTATAATTAGCATAATAATTTTTTTACTCTAAAAGTAATTATTCTTGTAAATAAGACAATATTAATATTACAGCTGATCTAATATAATTATAAATAAAATTATAATTTATAAATATAATCTAAATAAAATTAATACAATTTCTTATAATTTGGTTTTGCAAACAGAACCATATTTATTTTATCTTAATAGAATACCTTGTAATGATTAGCAAATTAAACTAAATTACAGTTTGGAATTAGCATAGTTATTTTTAAACATTAATAGACAATTACTAATGTAAATAGCCTATTTAAAATAGGATAACCCTTTTGTTATGCTACCAACTCAAACAGCTATAATGTATTGTATTGTATACCACTCTCACCCATACAACTGCACACACTTTACCGATAAATCCAATTAGTGTTTCAATTTCTGGACAACATTTCTGATGAATTATTTATGAGAAGCATTCATGTATTAAAAAACATTCCTTCTCTCTCTCTCTCTCTCTCTCTTTCTCGCTCGCTCGCTCTCTCTCTCTCTC